TGTGGCCTAAATTTCAACCCCCGGCACTGGGATAAGCAGGCCCCTTCTCCATTCAGAGCCCCCGGGCCGGGGCCTGCTGCGATGCCCACTGAAACCAGCCTGTGACTCTGGCGTCACCGGGCACACGTCACCCTTTTTCATTTCTGTAGCAGTTTATAAGTCAGTGGGGCTGTTTCTGGCAGACAGAAATGGAAATGAGCGCCCTGAATCTGGGTCACCCTGCAGCCCCGTGAATCCCGGTGGTCCTGGCCCTTAGCCCTGCGTCCAATGAGAACCTGAGGCGAGGGTGTCTTCCCAGATGCTAGGGAGGAGGCTCTAGACACATTTCATTTGTGTGATTATCCAATGGCAAGATCATTTGATCGAGGGTCCCCAACCCAAAAAAGAATGTGTGGCTTTCAGATTTCTTTCTGGTAGACAAACAGATGTTTTAATAAATCGAAACATCAGCCTTGGGAGTGTAATTAAATGACTGTAATAAAATCAGTCATTCTCCTTTGGTGTTTTTATCAGCATGAGTCTTTTCAGGTTCTGTAATGAATCTGTCTCCTCCCACCTACGTGGCCAAGATGGTGGCAGGCTGGCGGGCGCTGTGCTGCCCGCTTCTCAGACCCCAGGTGGGGGTCCCACCGGTCCACCCTGCAGCTGGCCAGTGGATCAGAGAGTGCGCCAGCCAGACCCCAGTGCCTGGTGGCCTCTAGACGTTGTAGAAGGCTAGGGGAGGCTTTCTGTCATCCTCATTCTGTGAGCAGGCCTGTCCTTTCTAGCAAGGTCAATCATGCCTTTGTGGAATATGATTGTGAGATTTTTTAAGTAAGTCAGAGGAAGCCTGATTCCACTGGAAGTTGGTTTTGGAGCTGCTGAGAGTGATTTCATTCTTGGTTCAACAATGCCTCGTTATCTACATTCCTGGTGTCTAAGCAGTGTGTTTTGTTAGCAGCCTAGTGTCTTTTTCCCATTTTCCATATCTGACTTGAAGCAAAATAGCGTTGTCCACTGTTCTGGAAACTGACACAGAAAGAATTGTGACTATGGCAGCACTCAGACAACAGTTTATCTGGGAATATCTAGAAGGTAGTATTTTCCCAGCAGTGAAAATTAGTGATATCCAGAATAGTCACTATATGAGTCCTTTTGCTTTTCTTAGAAGTTCTGTTTCATTATGCAACCAACTCATTTTGTTATTAAGCAGAAGCACAAAGACAACTGTTAAACATGATGTTTTTATATTTCTACCTTCTTATACAACCCACCATGACTTTCATATCTCTTCTCTTACTTGTGTCACTTGTTCACTTTCATTGCTAAAATTTTGCAAAACTAAGGCTGTGTCTAGAATGTCATGGTCAGAGTTGGAAGATTAAACTTGAGACCTCAAAGAAAATTTTTCAAAGGGAGTGCTCTTTTGGAAAAGCTTCCATTTTCCTCCTTGTTCAGAGATCCACAGGCCTGTAAAGCAAGTGACTAGTGGTTACGTGGAATTCCTTTCTGAAGGCGAAGCTGCACCCGGCAGGCATACCAGCCGCTGTGAAAGGGCGTGCTTGCGTCTCCTTTCCTGAAAAGCTCCAGCGTCCACCTGCCAGGAGAGGTAAGGAGAGAAAGAATCCGGAACTCTTATCTCTGTCTCTGGAGAACATTCCAGAGGTTGTGCTGGAGCCCAAGGGAGCGCTTTCTCTGGAGTCTGGAGAGTTCACAGACTAGTAGGTTTCCTTGCCCTTGCTCCCTCTTGGGAATTCTCTCTTTCCAGCAAGCTGTTGCTTTCTGTTTTAGATTAAATTGACCTTTCTGGCTGGACACCCTTTCCTTCTGCACAGCAGGCAGCTGGGCCTTTCCCCGAGGCCCTCCTCTCAGCCCACAGCCTGGCAGGTCCCTGAGGGGGTGGAACACATCCTGCCTCCTTCTAGCCTCCTCCTCCCACCTGCAGGACTTCTGGCCCAGGTTTTCCTTCTGATACTACTTAGAGCTGCTCTTTCTCCCTGCAGACACTCTTCACATCAAATGGCAGCTGCCCCCTCGGCCTCCTGCTCCACCCCACACCTGATTTTCGGTTGAAAAAGCCACCGTCTTCTTTCTCAGGTGTCTGGGCTTCCCACCTATGCCACCTGGAGCAAATGCACCCAGGGGCACTCTAACCATTGCAGCGGAGAAGAGCAACTGCCTCCCAGTCCCAGACGCCTGCACTTCCCTTAGCCCCAGTGTGGCTGCCTCCTCACTGTGCACAGCAGACATTGCTACTCCCCCAGAAGTCCCTGGAAAACTGGGAGGGTTGGCCCCTAATCCTGGAGTTCAACAGGAAGAGCCAGGAGGATAATGCTACAGGAGAAGGTGGCCGTCCCGTGGGTGACAGTTCCCTCCCTCCCGCTGTGGGTGGAGGGTGACTCCTGCCATCCTGTGGGCGAAGGGCTGTCCATCACCCGGCACTGATTCCTCTGCACTTCCGGGCGGGTCCAGAGGGCTGAACACAATGCCTTCCTAGAAAATCAGAGTTGTGGGGGCTTAGGTGGAAAGCACTCGAGAATAATCCTGCATCTTCTTCACCACAGTCTCTTTATCCGGCCCAAAATAGTTCCAGCAACCCTCCGCACCACAGCACCCCATCCTTCCCACAGCACCCGATCCCTCCCACACTACCCCCATCCCTCCCACACAGTCACCCTATGCCTCCCACAACCCCTATTCCCCCACACAGTTCCTTCATCCCCCTCACACAGTCCCCAACCCCCCACATAGTCCCCATCACCCCACACAGTCGCCATCCCCCCACAGATTACCCTACCTCCCCACACAGTCCACTATGCCCCCACACAGCCCCCTAGCCCCCACAACATCCCATACCCCCACTCACTCCCCATCCCCC